TCTCACCCCATGCCTGTTAGAATGGCCATCATCAAAAACAAGAGATAACGAATGCTGGCATGGATGTGAACAAAAGGGAACCCTGTGCACTGTTGGTGGGATTGTAAACTGGTACAAACACTATGGAAAACAATATGAAGTTTCCTCAAAAAACAAAAATAGAACAACGATATGATCTGGCAATCCCACTTCTGGGAGTATATCCAAAGGGAACTACGACACTAACTCAAAAAGATATCTGTACCCCCATGTTGGCATTATTTATAATAGCCAAGATATGGAAACAACCTAAGTGTCTATTGATGAATGAGTGACTAAAGAAGTTGTGGTGTATATATAACAATGGAATGTTATTCATCCATAAAAACCAAAGAAATCCTCCCATTTGTGACAACATGGATGGAACTTGAAGGCATTATGCTAAATGAAATAAGTCAGGCAGAGAAAGACAAATACTGTACAATCATACTTACATGTGGAATTTAAAACAAAAAACAAAGAAACAAAACACCAAACCTATAGAAAAGGAGATCAGACTTGTGGTTACCAGAGGTGGAAGGTGGTCAAGTTACAGACTTCCAGTTACAAGATAAGTACTAGGGATGTAATGAACATGATGACTACAGTTAACACCACTGTGTGATATATAGGAAGGTTGTTAAAAGAGTAAATCCTGAGTTCTCATCACAAGGAAAACATTTTTTTCCTTTATCTTCTTTCCTTTCTTTTCTTTTTATTGTTATCTATATGAGATGGACGTTAGCTAGACCCATTGCAGCAATCATTTCACAATAAATCATGCTGTGTGCCTTAAACTTACACAATGACATATGTCAATTATTTCTCAATAACACGGGAAAAATTTTCTGTAGGGAAGGGTGTGGGAACTAGGCATGTGTGCAACAAAGGTTGAGGAAGTCTTTTCACAATATATCTTCACATATGGTTTTTGAACCATGTGAATATATCACCTATGCAAAAATTAAATTGTAAAAAAGAAAATATGACATGAACAGTCCTATGCTTTGCAACCTTTTAGCTGAGTGTTCACAAACTAGAAACAGAATAAAGAGAAGTAAAACATTTTCATGAATCTCACATTCCAAATTTGACAAGATATTTCCATTTTAAATTGTTTCCATAACTTACAAATGACTTGAAAATATTTCTTTTGTGTTAAATTTTGTATTGCCGATATCAGTTAAAAAATGAATTTTAAAAACTTGAGCAGGATCCATCCAGCTACTCATAAACTAGGAGAGAGTGAAAGTACATATGTAAAACCTAACCAGAAAAAAAAAGCCAGGGATCTAGTTTCTCCTTTTGGCAGGAAAAAAAAAATCCCCCTAAACCTTTAAACCTAACAAGGCATCAGGAAAGAATATAATTTTAGCCAAGCATGCCAGAGAAGGGGGTAAAGTCTGTTTATACTTAAACTAAGAGGTGGTAGTGGCCTGAGCCCACAGTGAACATTCCCATCCACCAACATTTGAATAGAAAAAGCACTGAAGAACGTAGCTGGGGCTGTTAGCTGTAGCGTGGTTGCCCATTAATAAAATTCTAGTGAGGGAACTGCATTTTCTACTGATTCAGTTTCTGATCTGTTCCTTGTCTCAAACTTGTGCTACAAGGCATACTGCAGACAACCCACCTGGAATCAGAGTGGATCAAACTAAAAGATTATGCAACATAGAAGATATACATTTTGGGGAGCCTGCATGGCACGGTTGGTTGAGCAACTGACTCTTGATTTCCACTTAGGTCCTGATCTCAGTATCCTGAGATCAAGCCCCAGGTTGGGCTCTGCGCTCAGCATGGAGTCTGCTTGAAGATTCTCTCTCTGTCTCCCTCTGCTCCTCCCACTCCTGTTCTCTCTCTCTCTCTCAAATAAATAAATAAATCTTTAAACAAACAAACAAAAAACAGTATCGATCTTGGGGTCTAGGTTTCCAGAGCCTGACCGAGGACAAGCTGTCAAGTATTAGACTGGGTGTTTGACCTCTGTCCAGGTCCATGGGCCTAGATTTATTCCCCTGCATATAATGTGACTATTAGCAAATAACCATAGAATACTTTTTAGTTCTATGAAATTGACTGTTGTCCCCTAAATAGGAATGATAATAGGTAACATTTTGGTAGGATCAACTTGTGCCAGTCACAGTGCATTTGCTTTCCAAATTCTGTCTTGTTTAATTCACACACAACCTTGAAATAGTTCTATTATTCTCCCCATTTTAAAAATGAGAAAAATAAATGAGATTTAGAAAGATTAAATAACTTCTTAAAGTCACAAGCATCAGCCCCAGTGAGTGAGAACTCACCCTCCCTACTAACTATATCAAATGTTGCCAGATTTAGGCTGATTCTAGAAAGCACTACACATACGTAATATACTAGTGTACATATCATTTCAGTTTCCCAAATATTTGGCATGCATGTCTTATTTAATCCTCACAACAGCACTATAATTTTGAAAATTGATCTTATTCTCATTTATAGATATAGAAAATGAAACTCAGATCACCTAGCTAGTCAGTAGCAATTATAAGGTACTATCTTAAGTCTTCCAACTAATTATGTCTAGCATGTTCTTTCATTACCCTAAATTTTCAAAGATAAATGTTATTTCTAACAGCCCTTACTATTTAAATGGTTTAATCTTTCATATTTTAATCACATCACTAAATGTGATTTTTAAAAGAGCAAATACTTGTTAGATAAGTGAAATGATAACTTTCTTATTTTTAAAGCCATTATCTATAGAAAAACATTAGACATAGAAAAACAGTTTTAAAGTGTCAATTATATTTCAACATAAGGAAATGGTCATATAAATGTATTTTTGTACTTGATAAGTGTAATTAAGTCTAGAATTATAATCAATTATCTAAGAATTTCTTTTTTCTCTGCATCACTAATACCATTTTAGTAATAAAATGATTCAGATTTTTAATCCATTCATTTTTTAATTTTATTATGTTATGTTAATCACCATACATTACATCATTAGTTTTTGATGTAGTGCTCCATGATTCATTGTTTGCGTATAACACCCAGTGCTCTATTCAATATGTGCCCTCCTTAATACCCATCACCAGGCTAACCCAACCTCCCACCCCCCTCCCCTCTAGAACCCTCAG